AAGACATACTATCGGATGAACAAAGTCTTCTGAAAAAGGCTACATGTTCTGTGATTCCAACTAAATGGCATTCTGGAAAAAGCAAAACTGTAGAGAAGGTAAAAAAACAAAATCAGTGGTTTCCAGGGGCTTGAGGGAGGAGATGAGGAATGAATAGATGAAGCTCAGGGGGTGGATTTTTAGATCAGTGAAACGATCCTGAATGATGCTTTAATGGAGAACACATGACATTATACATATATTAAAATCCGAAGAATTGTACAGCACAGAATGAAAATGTAAATTATGAATTTTAGTTAATCACAATGTATCAATGTTGGGTCATTAGTTGTAATAGACATACCACATTAATGCATAATGTTAATAAAAGGAGAAATTGTGTTGGGGGAGGCGAGCATATGGTAACTCTGGATTATCAATTTTTCTGTTAGTTAAAACTGTTCTAAAAAATGAAGTCTACTATAAATAAATAAGGTGACAAAATGCAGAAAAAAATATTCAGAAATAAAGACTAAATCTGAATGAAAACAAGAGCAAATAAACACAATATGTAACGTAAGAGAAATAGAAGGTAAAAATAAATACATAAAAACGAAAGAAAGAAAAGGTAGAAGAGAGAAATTGACAAATTAGATGCTAGTAAAGAAGCTTCAACATATGTAATAGAAGTCCTTGAAAAAGTAAAGCAATGCAATGAAACAGAACAATAGCAACAATAAAAATCTGTTGGCTGGGTGTGGTGGTTTATGCCTGTAATCCTAGCACTTTGGGAGATCAAGGTGGGTGAATTGCTCGAGCCCAGGAGTTTTGAGACCAGCCTGGGCAACATGGTAAAACCCTGTCTCTACACAAAATATGCGCCCCGCCACCCAAAAATATTAGCTGGGTGTTGTGAAGCATGCCTGTAGTCCCAGCTGCTTGGGAGGTTGAGGTGGGAGAATCGCCTCAGCCTGGAGAGGACAAGCTGCAGTGAGCCATGATCACTGCACACCAGCCTGGGTGACAGAGTGAGATCTTGTCTCAAATAATAAATAAGTAAATCTTTCATTAAAAAAAAATGTTCCACACATAAAGTAAAGATTTCAAACTTCAAATTGAATGGATCTACCATGTTCTTGGAAAATGAACCCGGAACAAATAATACCAAGTGTGGCAGGCAAATGAACACCCCTATCTAAAGATGCCTGCACCCTCTTCCCCAGGATTGTGAATGTTACTTTGCATGGCAAAGGGAGTCTGCTATTGTGATTAAGGTTAAGGACCTTGAGATGAGGAGTTTATCCTATAATATCTGGGTGAACCTAATCATATGGATCCTTGTAGGAATGGAACCTTTCCTGGCTGTGGTCAGAGGGCAATGTGACTACTGAAAATGCACCAGTGGGAGATATGACAATGCTGGCTTTGAAGATGCATTAAGAGGTCCATAAGCCAAGGAATCTGGACAGCCTCTAGAAGCTGGAAAAGACAAGCAAACAAATTCCACCTTAGAGTTCCATAAAGGAATGTATCTTTACTGATTTATCCCAGTGAGACGCATTTTGGGCATCTGACCTAGAGAATTGTAAGATATAAATATGTCGTATTTTTAAGCCATTAAATTGGTGGTATTTTGTTATAGCAGTAATAGAAAAAACTAATATACCAAAAATAATGTAAGAAATAGTCAACTTTAAAGAAAAAATCGTTTGGTTATCCAAGCAAGAAAGGAAGTGAGATTGCAATTAGTGTTTTCAATGACATTGCTATTGAATGTCAGCAATGACAGAGCTGATGGAGAAACATTTTCAAGACACCAAAAGAAAAAAGTGTGGACTGAAGATTTAATATCCAGTTATTGACAAATTTTAACAATATGCAAGTTCATATGGAATACACTTAAATATTTCTTAAAGAATCTCCTAGAAAATGACCTTCAGAGGACAAAAATGACTAGGAAGACATTAACAAAAAGACTATTATGTCCTCAAAAACTGAAATTGTTAGTATGAGAGAAAGAAGATATATATATGTAAAAATCTGAATTTAATTAGAAAGTATGAACATACAACATGATATATTTTATCTGTAAAAAGCAAGAACATATACCTCGCTCTGCCTACAGAAAAATAAACAATTATGACCTAAACATAGTGACCAATCTAGGTGCAGTGTATGCAACTAATATCTAAAACCCAGGCTACAAGGTTTCCAAGTACACTTTCCAGAAATCCTTAGAAAAAATGAGCCCAAGGTCTGGGAAATAAAATGAGTAAGATGCCTCAAATATCTTGTAATACAAGATAACATGTATCTATCCAAAAATATTGAAATAGTTTTAAAAGATTCTAGGAACCAGATTGAAGCGGCTCTCACAGGCTAAAATCTCTTAATTTGATCATCAATGAAAATAATAGTTACAATATACTGAAACATATTTTTAAAGTTTACTTCCATGAGTTTATTATAATACAAAAAAGGCCTAATGGGTCATCATCAAAATATGCTTGGAACTATACTCATTAATTTAAAACTAGGTAAATAGAATCAAACATTTATCCTGCCATTCCCATACTAATGTACCACTGGGTACTCTTAACAGTAGATCAGAGGATGTTTCACTATATAGTATTATACCAGCTAATAAGTGAAAAAGAAAAGATGGAATAGAATTTAAACATTTTGTTCTCCTAATGCATTACTTGATCTAAGCATATGGCATCGACGTCTGCTAACACCACAAAAAGAAAAAAATCAGACATTTTGCCTTCTGATAGAACAATACCCATTTATCAAACTGTCTTAGAAAAAAAAACTGAACCCAAAACTGATCAGTCTCTCAAGAGCAAAAGGAAAACACACACGTGCACACACAAAAGCCAAAACTGATCAAAACTCTAGATCCAACTAGAGGACATACAGAAGACAAAGGAATCTGTCCAAGTACATGAAAACAACTTGTTTCTCTTCAATGACAATAACAAAAGCAAGAAAGCAAAGAGTGGAAAAGGGGGAGGTAGAAAGAGAAACTAAAGACTTAAAGGAATTTTTTAAATGAATTGGCACATATGTATCTGATTCAAGCTATAAATCTGTTTATAGGATTTATGAGAAAATGGATAGTTTGCATAATTACTGAATATTTGATAATATTTTTAAAATGTTCAGTTTTTCAGTAAGGTATTTATATTTTCATTACGTTAATTAACAAGTGAGTTCTTTTAAAGTTATGTACTAAAATATGGAGATAAAAAACATGATATCTAGAATTAGCCTCAAAATTCTATAGCTTGGAAGAAAGTGAATGTATACAGTCAATGGAGTATATGGCATAACATGACTTGACAATTACTGAAGTTGTGTAGCAGATTCAAAGGGATTTCATTTTATTGTTCTATGTTGGTATATATTTGAAATTCTCAACAATAAAATGTTAAAAAAAAAAAAGACAGTGTTTTCCTTTCTCTGGCCTTCTGATGGCTAGTCTGTTCTTTTCTTCGAGATTACAACAAGTGTTACTGGAATAACAACATCAAGCACTTTAAGTTCTCTAGGTAGTTTGAATATAGTGCTTAAAGAATTGGTGGCTTGAATACACGTAAAGCAACTCAGTTTCCTCGTAGCTATGTTTCCTCCATCCTTTCCAGAATCTTATAAAGATCTTATAAAGAATCTTATAAAGATGATAAAGACAGAGGATTGGAGCAGGAATTAGTTTAGCCTTGGCAAAAAGTGAAAGGGAAGAGAGTTGCTGCAACCAACATCACTTTAGGAATTCCTCCTGTAGGACTAGAGAGCCTCAAATCCAAATTCGAAGTATATAGGGTTGATTTTCAAATACCAACACTTACTATTTAGGCCAGAAGAGAAGCTACAGTTGGACATTGCAAATATTGTAGATTTGAAGTCCTCAGTAGCTGAGTTCATTACTTTGTTAATGGGAGAACATCATTTCTTTTAATAGTAAGTTTAAAAACTTACAATGCTTACTTCTATAATTTTCACTGATATTACCTCACAAAAATTTTAAAGGACATTCATTTGATGTTTTCTACCTACTACCCAATCTTTGTGAATAATATTAAATATGTGAGCTTTGTGAAGAGAGAAATGCTAAAATGTAGTAAAAGTTATATTCCATTATTCCTAACTTGAAATTAAGAGTTCACACTATGAAACTATTTGGATTTCTTGTTTCCCCCCTTATAGCATAGCAGTAGCATATACTCAGCTACGGAATAATATTGGCAAGCACAGCAATGAACGTTTCACTGGAAACCCCAAACACCGAATGCTTTATCTTTCTTTCCTTTCTTTCTTCTTTTTTTTCTCCTTCAGAAATTCCCTATCATATAAGATATATAATGCCATTTGTGCCAGAGTGCTTTGCATAATAATGGTTTCCTTCAGTTTTTCAGGCCTACATAGAAGTATCCCAAAGAGAACTATGCAGTAACATCAACCACAAAAAAGAAAATTGCCCGTTTTTCACTGAAACTGCTCTTATTCTTTCTCTAAATTTTTTAACAATTTTATTTTTAAATGTAAATGCTTATAAGAGTTCAGAAAAGATATCCAGTTATTAACATTTCAGGTATAATTATTATCTTTCTAATCCCCACCTTCTGCATGGAACAGCCTCCTTTAGAAGAAGTATTATTACCTCCCTACTTGTGTGGGCCCTCAGACATCTTCAAATAAGCATCTGTAGGTGGGACTCTCTGATTATAAAGGCAGAGTGAAATTAATGTTATTAATGTACAAAGGTGTGAAGTATGAACTTCAACTGGCTTTCCCTAAAGAACTCTGCTGATTATGTGTTTGAAGCTACAGAAGATCTGTCTAAAACATCGCTGTTGAAGCCTTTTACTAGCTCTTGTGCTAATAAGTGAAGTAAGTCTGTGGCTCTTCTATAATGTGGAGTCAAAGTGCTGACAAGCAGCTTATCAGCGCTAATGATAACTGCTGTATTTCAGCAGCCGGGATCAGAAGATGCATTTCACATTTGCATTTTTTATTTATTTTTTTTATTTTTTTCAGAATTGAACACTTAAGAAATCAGTAGAATGTTGCCAGGAGCCTTGCTTGCAAGCTGCTGCCTTTAAGAATTTTTGCAATCCCTGAAAGAGTAACCAGAATACATTCATTTTCTTATGGATTTTTTAGTTCAGGATAAGGACAGAATTTTAAGGTGCTCCCACTCCCGGGGGGCTGTTAAACACTTCTATTATTCTAATCATCTTCTGTATATCTGAAATCTCTCAAGATCGTTGCTCCTTTTATGAAGCACTTCAAAAGGTGCAGCTTTTAGGGTGCTGATCTAAAGCTACACTTGATGTTGACAAGGGGGGTGCTGAGTTACAATTCTAAGAACTCCTCTTGATCCTCCAGCTTATAACAGCCTTGCTACATTTAGAAATCTTGATTGTTGAACTACCTTCAACCCACTTAATTGGTCCCAATCATTCATTTCTTATTCATTCACTCATTTACTTTATGGGTCAGTTGAAAAAATATTTACTGAGCATCTACTACATGCTGTAATTATTGTATTACATGCTGGTCATGTAAGAAAGAGTAAGATAATCCTGAAGGAACGCATAACCTAGGGAGGATATCAAAACACAAAAGCTTTGATAAAGCACTTTTGGCAGTCAGAAAAAGAATAAAGAATGCTCCTTGTGCAGTGAGGAAGGTGTCACAAAGAAGGTAATGATTACCCTGGACCTTAAAGGATAAGGACTCTATAAAAAGGAATATTGGTACGTTTTTATAGTGCATTCTTTAGAGTGCCAATGAGGCCTCTTCCTTGCCCCCTGCAAAGAGAAAAAAAAAATCATGATTATAAGCTAGTAACAGGGCTTTGATCTTTAGTGTCAAGAAATTCTATCTTCAGAAAGTCTCTGTTAAAATGTGAAAGAAGTTTGCTCATTAACTGTTTTATAGGACTCTCCTGTTACATCCCATGACTGGTATGAAGTTCAAATGAAAAGATCAAATTCTTTGTAAATTGTAAAGTGCAATGCAAACATCAGTGATTTGTGATGTTGCTTGTATTATAGTAATAACATCATTAATCAGGATTATTTTATCAATGTTCTAGACTTTAGCAATACAACATGGAGAAAATTTAAACATAGAACTGGTTTAAAAAATTGTTTATGTAATATCATGGTGGATACTTCCAAAAAGGCTTATTAGGGAAAAATAGGCTTGGAGCTTGGCATAAAGAAAAATTGCTTTGTGCTACTAGAGAGACAAAATAAAAAATAGACCAGATTATCTCATTTTGTTTAGAAATTAAAATGACTTCTGACTAGTTGTCACACACTGAAATCAGGGGCTCCCATTTCACATGTTTACATCAGCCATGCTACCTTGTTTCAATGAGATTGGATTTATTCTTCATCTTCTCAACCTACCTGTCAGTTACCAAGCAAGAAATTTTTCTGTGGCTAGCTTAAACCTATACTGGGGTGCCAAAAAACCAGAGACACCAAAAGTATTTCTGAAGGAATAGATTTGCAATTTTAATTAGAAGCATCAAAGTAATCATTAAAAAAAAATCAATACTCTATTGCACAATTTTAGTCTTCTTTTTTTAATTTAGAATTGTTTTAAATCAGATATAGAAAAGAGTACCAGAAGGTTCTCAGTGTTTAAGGCCCTCTAAAGGGCTTAACAGGATCCCACTTGGAATTTTAAAATCATCTTTATAATTTTCCTGCAATCCTAAATGACTGAAAGGAGTAGCAACATGATCTCCTAAACTGAGCGCAAGCCTGAACATCAAGGTCTCTGAGTACCGTCTCCCTGCAAACTGAAAAATGGGCAAATGGTGCTGGACTAATACAAAAGGGTGTTCTCAAACCAGGTTATATTATTGGGTGCAGTCTGAAAGCAGCTAGCACTAGCAGCAAGCTTTCCACTCAAGCTGTTAATGTTTCCTAAGAAAATTCCTCACATTTAAAAAGTGTCTAGCCCCAAGCCTTCCTGTCGCTCCCATGCTACACACAAGAGTAGGAAGGTGGTCTTACAGTTTGATTTGCATAGCCAGATCATGTAAAAATGGTCCTTAGGATCTCTCTCCTGGTCTGAAATTGTTTCTGATCAAGTTACCAGTGCATTAGACAATACAGCCTTCCATCCATCAGGAACATGTGTAACCACAGGTGAGGTGACAGGTCTCCCTTCAACAAATACATCCTCCACAAGCACATCTGCACATGTTAGTTAACCAGAATTGGCTTATTTGCAAATCTCACTGAAGAAATGACTATGGTGTTTGGTATCAGTGTGGTGATGTGGTTCAAAGCACACACTCGGGCAAAACAGAACAGGAACTTCAAAATAAGAAAGTTTTTTCTTACATGTGTAAATGCATTATTCACTGCAGCATTTTTTAAGATCCCCCTTTCCTCTCACATCTTTCTTTTGCATCCATGAAGGCTCCTTACCTTCACTTTCAAAATTCTCCCAATGCTGGCCACTGACTCTCTCCTTTCTAAATATCACCCTTTTCTTCTACTCACCGCCATTGGGAGTCCTCTGTTGGCTCCCCCCTTAATTTTAATACTGCATCTCAAAGCCCAACATGAAAAAATTGGTATGGAAACAGCAGACCCCACCTTAGATGGAGTAGAGCGGAAGCACCAAGTAGAAAAATCTAAACATTTTGTGTTTTTGACAAAAAAAAAAAAAATTATCCTTTGTGCTAGCCTAGTTGTCATCTCAGAAAGCTTAGGGTCTTAAGTAAATAGGAAACAATAGGAAAGTTTTATTGGGGTAGAGGTGATACTGAGAATATGTGGCACCACCCAGGAAGATACCCCCTGTAGAGTCACAGCCATGAGATCTTCCATGGATTCAGAGCCTACAATGTGTCAGGGAGTTTTACATATATTATTTTATTTTTCCACAGCGCAATATGGTGGGATAGATTTTTTTTATTTTATAGATGAAGAAATGTGGGAAACTGAGGTAGGCTAAATAATTTCCCAGCTATTTGTAACAGAGGCAACATGAAAGCGCAATGCTTGTAGCTCGCAAACCAGTGACATTATTACCCTAAAGTCGCAGTATTTCCACAGTGGGAGGACTGCCCCTCATAGCCGGGAGATAGCATTAGATGCTATCGTAGCTCCTTAATAGAAACATTGCCAAAGACAGCCTTCACCCACCTCCTCTTAATGTTAGGCCTGGCCCAGCATTTCCACAGATTCTAAGACTATGCTGGCATCAACCACCTTGGCCTGCCCTCTCCCCATCTCATAACAATCTTGTGTCTTACTTAAATGTGGGTCACAAAGGGAAATAGCCATCAGGATGGCAACTACTCACTCCAGCTTTGGGGTAGTTGATGCTAAGTGAAAGAAAGCAATCTTTCTCTTCCTGCCTTGCTCCCTTCCTTCAGATTCAGATACGAAGGTTCACAATTCTTAGGAGTTAAGGGGGTTAAATCTTCATTGGCCATTCTTCGAGCTTTAAAACAAAACCAATAAAAAAGCTCTGTAAGCCCTAACACCTTTTATATATTTTGTAGTTAAAAGAGAAGAAAGAGAATAATGTGCCCCTAGCAAGACATATATGTATGCCTTCCCACTTCAACCTATTACATTTCATTCTAATCCTATTTTCTCTATACAGCCTGCCAGCAATATTCTTAATTAGGGGTCACTATTTCTTTCTTTTTAAAATAAGAAATAGTATAAAACCTCCCATTTTCCACTTTTATGGAAGGGACATAGAAACATATTAGTTAAAGGCATTCCGTTTGCATTCTGTTTTTCCTACCAAAGTGATCCTTATAAAATCCAGTTCACCGTATAATTAATGACCTTTTCTCATGCTTTAGGGCATAAGCTGATTACCAGTCTGGGTCAGAGAAAACATTTCCCGGGTGTAGAATTGCACAATTAAATGTGTTGTGAGGAATCTGTGCTTTCCTTTGATGCTTTGGTCTTTGCCACGGTAGGGGGCAGGATGCTGGGCTAGATGGGCAGTTGCTGTGTTACAGTGTGCCACATCCTCTGCTTCTCCAAACACACTGGAAAACGACCTAAGACCACCTGAAACACTTATCACACGAGCTCTTTTCTGATGCTCCCACAAGAGAAGCAGATGTCTGCAAGTGAATAGTCAGGATGCAGCCAACCGAAACAAGTTTTAACATTATGTGAAAGTTGATCTTTCTGGGGGAGGGGGAAGAAGTAAAGAACCCCTCCTGAAGCTCAGAAGTTGTTGATGTATCATTTTTTGTATAAATTAAAACTTGTGTTTCTGTTTTAAATTTAAGCAAAGGGAAATCATGTGTTCCCTGAAACAGAAAAGCTACAAAATCATTATGTTATATAGGGAATTAAAATATTAAAGTGGATAAGACTTGCGATATCTATAAACCAGCCAAAATTTTCTAAAGCAGTGCTATGCATATAATTTTTCTGGAAGATGGAAATGTTCTGTGTCTTTGCTGTTCAATATGGTAGCCACTGGCCAGGTGTTATCAGTCTTTTGAGACACAGCTAGTATGACTAAGGAACTAAAATTTAAACCAAATTTAATTTAATCCATGTATTTAATTACATTGTTATTTAAACTTCAATATACTGGTTTAACTAAAGTTCAATAAAATGTTTTATAGTTCTGATGCTTCAATTAACAGTAAAGAACCATCTCTCTTTGTCCATTAGCTTTCTCACTTACAAGTAGGCATAGTTTTAAAAACGCTACCTTATTAAAAGGGAAACCCTTCTATTTGTTCTAATTCATTAATGTAGGATTAAAATGTACTGTATATCTTCCACATTCTTTTTAAATCTTTATATTTTATTTTATTCTTTTTATCTTTTTACATATCTTTATAATATATTCTTATATATTTTTAATCTTTACATTATATATTTAGTATCTTTTTATTGTCTTTTTATATCTTTATATTCTTTTTATATCTGCCAAAAGTAAAGAGAAATAACCAAAAGAGAGATACCTTTTAAAAATTTCTCTAGTTTACGTAATCCTAAAAGTTCTTAAAGGAAGAAACAAAATATTACTATATACATTTAATGTTTCAATAGTGCAGGTTTATTAGGTGTGACTATCTTTAAAGATGTAAACTATTTTCAACCATCTAGTCAGTTCTCCCTACAAATGTTTTAAAGGATTTTTGACACTGTTGAATAATGATTATGAAACCCGAGAAAGACTGAAACATTCCAACAAGCAGGGAGTTACTATTTTACAATTTGTGAAATACATATTATGGTATACAGTTTATAGATTTTTTTCAAAAGCAGTCAAAAATGGTCAAACTCAACAAAGTGTACTGAACACATAATGTTTCCCCAGCAAAAACAATAAGCAACTACAATAGAGGTCTTTCTGACTGATAAATAGTTTAGGCTAAAACGGAAAAAGAAAAAAATCTAAATTATTTTTAATAACTCTGTACTGAAGGAATTTTTGACAGTCAACATAATCAAAATTACTTGCATATGTTGACATAACTTAAAAGAATTGAGAGTTCTCAACTTTATCCAATCCCATATCTTAAATGATCATCTACTTGAGAAAGCAGGAACACATTTTGCTATTTTACTAATTATTGCTCTTGGTTTTCCAAAGCTTGCCATGTCATCAGCATTCAAGTGCTAATTATCTAAAACTAGAAGTTTGTCAAATATATTCTTGCTGTTATGTTAATCTAATATTTTGGTTACACTTTTCTTTTGAAGAATAGATTTTAAAGGCAAAATTTTACCCCAAAGTTAAAAAATATGTAAAGAATTGCCAAGTCAGAGATGAAAGTTTCTGTAGTCAACTCTAAATAAGTTACAAAGAAAAATTAATTTCATTTATCAAAATACTTATCACTATAATACATTGTATTTACTTCTCTAATGTAATTAAATTTCTGTAATTATCTTGATATACATTGAAAAATATAGAAGACAAAATAGTTATGATTTCCAGAAGTTTATAATTTATAATACCTGCTTTTCATTAAAAAAATCATAACAATAATTAAATGAATTATTTTAAGACAAGATGCCAATACTTTTTGCCACAAATATTCCACTCACTGGTCCAATAACATTATCTTCATCCAAGGACACGGTGAAAACTATGAGTCCCCAGTCTCTTATTTGGAACTCTCAGAACCAAATGTTTTTGTATTGTTTTTCATTTTTTAGAGATAAGAGTCTCACTCTGTCACCCAGGCCGGACTGCGGTGGCACAAGCATAACTCACTGTGGCCTCACAATCCTGGGCTCAAGTGATCCTCCTGCTTCAGCCTTACAAATAGCTAGTATTGTACAAGCATGCACCACCATGCCTAGCTACTGTATTAATTTTTTTGTAGAAATGAGTTCTTACTCAGGCTGGTCTTGAACTCCTGGTGTGATTTTCCCATCTCTGCCTCCCAAAGCACAGGAATTATAGGCATGAGCCACCATGCCCTGCCAGGACTGACTGTTTTCAAAATTTAAAATGTTTCTAGGTCAGGCATGGTGGTTCATGCCTGTAATCCCAGTATTTTTGGAGGCTGAGGTGCGTGGATTACTTGAAGTCAGGAGTTTGAGATCAGCCTGGCCAACATGGTGAAATTCCCTCTACAAAATTACAAAAATTAGCCGGGCTTGGTGGAGGGCACCTTTAATCCCAGCTGCTTGAGAGGCTGAGGCAGGAGAATGACTTGAACCTGGGAGGCAGAGTTTGCAGAAAGTAAAACAATAATATATGATGTAAAACCTACAGAGGGTTCTGGTGCAATATCTTGTAATTAAGCATACTAATATTTTTGCAGTGTAACATCTGAATATTGATAATAAGCGGCCTAAATACTAGCCACATACAATTTCGGATCAGCATGCACTGCTAAGTGCATTTACTCAAATTTACCTTAAAATGTTCGGTTTTCAATTAAAAGACAATTCACAGACTATAGGGAAACAATATTTGAAATACATGTATCTGACAAAGGGCTCATTTCTAAAATGTAAAAGAACTCTAACAAATCAATAATTTTAAAAATGGGCAAAAAAGAAAGCGAAGCCATTTCACAAAACAGAATATACAAATGGCCAGTGAGCAAATATAAAAGCACTCAACATCATTAATCATCAGTAAACACAAATTAAAACCATGATGTGACACTATTTCACATCCATTAGAAGGCCCAAAGTCTGAAAGATCAAGACTGACCATGCTAAATGTTGATGAGGATGAGTGATCAGAACACTCATACTCTGCTGGTGAGAGTACAAAATGGCATAACTACTTCAGAGATTTTGCACTTCCTTATTAATCTAAATATCTACTCTATGACCCAGTAATTTCATTCCTCGATATGTACCCAAGAAAAATAAAAATATATACCGATCAAAAGACTTAAAAGCTCAAAACTTTTTTGAATGAAAGAATTCAGACATAGAAATGAACATGCTATATGACTGTTTACATGAAATCTAAGAACAGGTAAAACTAATCTCTGATGATAGTAATCAGAAGGTGATTCCTGGGAGGATTGTAGAAAAAAGGGTAATTTAAGGAAACTATGAGGTGATGAAAATGGTTTATATCTTATTTTGAGTGGGAAATAACACAGGTGTATACAGTTGTCAAAGCTCATCTAACTGAACACTTGGGATCTGGTATTTTACATAAATTCTACCTCAATCTTTTTAAAAATCTATTTTCAGAGTTGTTTTTTCACTTTGGAATTGCAGGTCAAGGACTGTGGACCTGTATTAAATGCTTGCTTTTTGACAACTCTTACCTCCAATGGAAGCAGTTAAATACATTCGGCAGCACAGAGGAATTCTGCTGTTAAGGACTGTTGGCCTGAGGATTCAAATCTTAATGATCGTTTAATTTTTCACAGAAAAATCTAACACAGTCTGGTTTGATAAACCAAGGAGGATTACTTCAAAGATAGAAAATTCAATTTTGCATTAAAAGCTCAAAGTACACCACAGGTTAATAAACCTAGTAGATAATATTTACATCTTAAAGAAAAAACTCCAAATCTTTTCTAACCACCGCATCCCCAAATTGTGTCTTGTTAATTTTCCAGCTGATGGGGAGAGTAAAACAGAGAGATGAGACTTCACTTGTCTCTACTCATTGTTGAGGGGTCCCCAGATGGGGCACCTGCTATTTATTTACTCCTATCAGGTTTCAACATTCCAATCACATAGCAATGCTAGGACTTGAAGTTCCTTTCAGATTATATTCCATATTGTACAATAAACACAGCTTCAACAGGAAAATTCCCTCCAGTTGCCAGGTAGAGCACTGGCTACGATTAAGAATCTTTGACCCCGTCTCTACTAAAAAATACAAAAAAATAGCCGGGCGAGGTGGCGGGCGCCTGTAGTCCCAGCTACTCGGGAGGCTGAGGCAGGAGAATGGCGTAAACCCGGGAGGCGGAGCTTGCAGTGAGCTGAGATCCGGCCACTGCACTCCAGCCTGGGTGACAGAGCAAGACTCCGTCTCAAAAAAAAAAAAAAAAAAAAAAAAAAAAAAAAAAAAAAAGAATCTTTGGGGAAAGACCTGATGAAGACTTCCTAACCAGATGCTGCTCTCTTCATTTAAATGTTGGCTTTAAAAAGGATGAAGCATTCGAAAAGCTAGGATTATCTTTTACGTGATCGTTGATGGCACAAAAAACTCCAACATTTGCACCTCTGCCTGCTTCTGATCTAGGGAAAATTCAAAACAACTAATATTAAATCTTCAAATTGTGTTATATCTTCCCTCAATTAAAGTTTATTGAGAAAACTCTCCATGTTTACTTTGTATTGTTGTCTTTATTTGGTTGTGATCTACTGGGTGAATGGTAGAAAGCAAACAAAACTATGCACTTGTGAAAAAAACATATTACAAATTATGTTAATTACACAAGTCTTAAGACAACTTACTGTTTTTTCCTGTAAGAGGCGGTGTGGAATAGAAGAAATGACACAAGTTTGGTAGCATGCCAACATGGATCGAAGCAGCCATCTTTCCTAGCCATGGAACCATGGACACTTTCTTGCTACTATTTAAGTCCTAGTTTCCTCATCTGTAAAGTGAGGATGATAATATTAATAATTACTTCAGTAACCACTACAAAGAGTTGCTGAAAGAATTAATGGAGATAATATTTGTAAATGTCTAGTAGAGCAGTCCCATATTTAACTTCTCTAGAAAATTACTGAGCACATTATTTCCATTTGCTTCAAATTTTCTATCTGTAAAATGAGGGTAATGGAACCTTCCTGACAGGGTAAAATTAACATGTGTAAAACACTTAACTACTGGCCAATAAAAAGATGCTAATATTAGTACCGATTCTCTCCATTCCTCCCATTTATGATACAAACATTCTGATGTTAGCTCTTGCCGCTTCACTATTGTTGTGAATCTTTACCCATCATTGAGAATTAAGCTCCAGAAATGCTCAAGGTTTGAATCAGTATTGCACTGACTGGCCCCTTAGTCTTCAGAACACAGGAACATGATAATAAAGCTGTTTGATTCAAGAAGGTCAGGGCATAACCAAAATGCAGCAAGGTCTCTACAGGAAAGAGTATTTTTTTCCAGGAGAGGGTGGGGAAAGGATGAGGGCTGGGGAGGACCCTGAGAGTAAGGGATCACCTTAACTAGAAGAGAGTCACAGCACTTCTCTGGAGCAGAACTGCCTTTTCCTGATCCCCAGTGCCTGCGAGAGTCCTTGGTACATACTATGTGTTCAAGTAATATAAGCTGAACTAAGTATCTTGTTCAAACTTCCCTGATCTGGAAAGAGCTTCCCTGAATCTCCCCAAAAGGCCTAAACATGCCTAAACACCAGTATATTTAGTGATTTGCATTAAGACTCTTAAAGGTATACATACACATTAATCAAGTAATTCTGCTTCTCATAATATACTCTAAGGAGAAAATCAGTTGTGAATGACATTTGTTGTACAAGAATATTTAATGCAGAATTATTTATAATATTATAAAATTAAAAATAAAAATCCAGCAAAAGGAAAGGAGTTACAAAAATTGTGTCAAATGCTCAACATGGAATTTTACAGAAATACCAATAATCATGTTTCCAAAGTTTACTTGATAACTGAAAAATATTTACAAAAACTATTAAGCAAAAAAGCACTTATATATATACAGAGTTGGTTGTATAAATAACATGACCAGTATATTTTACCTCCAAAATAAATATGTACATAAATAGATATGTAATTTTACACACAAACATATAAGTATGTAAAGACAGGAATAAATTATTCTAAAATGTGAATGGTGATTAACTCTGGCAAGGCCATGGAAAATTATTTGTTTCTCTTTTAGTTTTATGTATTTTCTAATTTTCTGTAATGACTTAATTTTACTTTTATAAATAAAAACATTCTAAATTGCAATCCATGTTGAAGAGCCAAAAAAACAAAAAATAGCAAATATAAAACCACTTTATAGAATGAAACTTTAGGCCTGGCTTTGCCCTTTTGTACCATGTAACCACAGACTAGTTATCTACTGGCTTACAGCTTCCAACTCTGTATTTGTTAAGAAAAATAATTCCCACTATTCAGTATTGTTGACAGGATTAGAGATAACACACGGAAAAAGTCTAGAATATTACAGTTGTTCAGTGAATAACAGGTATTCTCATTGTCATTTACATTCTGCCTTACATGATTTTAACTCGATATTTGACATCTATATTAATAAATTATAATCCCCATGAGGACAGCGCTTATCTGTGTTCCCCACAGCACTAGGTATAAAGTTTTATGAAGAACAAGCTTTCAATTAAGCCCACAAAATTGTAGCGAAATAAAGAACTTGAAATATACTTGAAAAATCCTTCCAGTCAAAAGTGATCATTATCTACAGCCACATAACATAATACAGGAAGGATCTCACATACAAAGTTGCAGGTACAGTCACTCACAGCGTTATCTCTTTCTCCAGTGAATTTCAGAATATGATTGATAATGCCAGCCTTGAGTTCTTTCTCAAAACCAAACTTGAATAAGTGGCAAGTACTGTACAAAGCAAGCCAGTTCCATCTTTCAAAATATTTACAGTTTAAGACAGAGAAGTTTTAAAATTGGAAGAAAGCATTAAATGCAAATTACATTTAAGTTCTCTCTCCTAAAACCATAAAATACAAATTATTTAGCCTGCGAAAACTAAATGAGATAGTGTATATGGACACATTATAAGTGACATACATGCTATTATTACCAGTGTTTTAAATATATACTCATATCACCCTGTATCTGTTCTTCATAACACTTACTGCTTGTATTTACATATCGTATTAGAAGCCCCTAACCTCAACCTATTCCAGGTTCATGGCATACCAAGCTCCACTTGGAGTCTCTGCTCCAGCACTCTGACTTTCATCCCTCCCTCACACTTTCATGCTCTCTCCTACCACAAGGAATGGCCAACACTGCTTTCAGTGCTTCAAATGCTCTTTCCTCTGCCCTTTGTCTTCTTAACTCCTCATTTCTCTGCTCTTGGTTCTTGTGTCACTCTTCAAACAAGTCTTCCTGTATATCTCCAACCTAATGGAATCCCTCTTCTATAATTCAGCAATGCACCAAGTACCTCTCCTTCATCAGCATGGCCAAAGTTATACTTTTTACTAAGAGATGCCTATTAGGCATTCAGCAAACAACTGCAAGAATAATAAATAAGATTTTGACGGGCCTATGTCAAAGTAGACTTGGGATCAAGAACAAGATTCAAGTTCTGGCTGACTCAGATACCACTCCATTTAGCACTATGCTATGTTGTCAGCTATATGATCCTGGGAAAATTATTTAGCTTCCCCTTCTTGTTTTTGGTTATATCAGGAACTATTTTGAAGAGGCTTAAGCCAAATTTATTGGCTCAAGTAACTGGAAAGAGAATGTCCGCAGACTCCAATCTCCCATATCTAACCTATAACAGCATCCATTTCCATAAACTGCCTTCTTTCCTATTACTATCAATGAACTATATTTTCCCGTTAAGTCTTCCTCCACTAGCACCCTTGATTCCATCCTTCTCTCCCATATTCAACAAACTTGATCCAGCAATTCTTCCGTGTCCTTATCATTTTTTTTCCTTCTTTTGAATCATTCCCACTGATGTTCAAAAATATGCTATGATTTCTCCTATCTTAAAAAGTAAAATACCTCAAAAAAAAAATTAATCCATGTCCCCAGTGAAATACCATCTTATTTGCTCCCCTTTGCAGCAAAAAATTCCCTAGGAAAAAAAAAAAAAAAAAGCTGTCTATGCTCACTGTCTGCCACTTTCCTCCCACACTCTCTTGGGTGCACTCCAGGCAAGCTTTTGCTCCAGTTAATTCACTGAAAGTACCTCTTCAATACTTCTCCTGACAAGGTCATCAGTAGACCCAGGCTGACCCATTTGACATAGTAACCGTTCCTTCCTTCTTGATCCATTTTATTATCTTGCCTGCCAGGGTATCACCCTCTGCTGGTTTCCCCCCAGCTTTATAGTTCACTCTACTCATCCATGGTCGTGTAATCAAATGCCTTCTGTATATGCTGATGAAACTCAAATTTATCTCTCTTAGATCCATTTTCCTAGTTCCAGATTCATATATTTAATTCTTTACCGTCATATCTGCTCAGATGACTAACAGCTGTCTTAAACTCAACATGTCCCAAACTGAACTCCTGCTCCACCTACTGCCTTCCCTACCTCAGCTGATAATGATGCCATTCGTCAGTTGCTCCGGGTAAAAAAAAACTTGATGTCATCATTGATCCTTCTCTTTTGGTCATAATACTATCCAACCCCTCAGGAAATCTTGTTGGCCTGCATTTAAATCCATAATCCAGTCATTTCTCACATCCTTGTTGAAGTCACCAGTAATTTTCTCTCCCATGAATTATTCAAATAGCCTCCTTACCAGTTTTCCTATTTCTATTGTTGTCCAATCTGATAGTATTTTTTGACAAATCTCTTAAATGTATAAATCAGATCATTTCACTTTACCGCTCAAACCAGACAATGATTTCACATTTTACAAACATAAAAACAAAAATTCTTACAACGGCTACACAGCCCCACAATCTGGACCTACCTCCTTTTACCTCTCTGATCTCATCCCCTTCAACTCTTCCCTCAAATAGATTCTGCCACACTGGCCACCTGTCACTAGTATATACCTGGCACACTCTGACTGAAGGTCAAGGCACTTGCTGTTTCATCTCCCTGGATCATGCTTCTTCCAGATACTCCTTTGCCATACTCCCTCACCGTTTTCAAATATTTGTTCAAAATGCCTACCTTGATTCTCTAATTTAAATTGAAATCTGCCTCCCTCCCTTCTCCCAGCATTGCCTATTTATTTTCTTACCCTGTGCAATTCTCCCTACTCCAAGAGATTTATCATTCTCTAACATACTGTGCAATTTACTTAAATATTATGTTTATTGTCTGCCTTTCCCTATTAGAATGTAAGTTCACAAAGCAAACATTTTTAACTGTTTTGAATCCCCAAAAACCTAGAACAGTGCCTCGCATTTGAGTTGGCAGGCCCTCAGTATCTCTTGAATGAATGGGAATATTAGAGGTGGAATGGGCCTCAGGAATAACTGGCTTCAGAAACAGTACCATACCATCTGTCCAGACTTTCTGCATTCATCATCTCTGTTTTGTTTTCTGTGTCTTTAGCCTCCTTCTCTCCTACATGTGAATTTCTTCTGCAGTATGGGGGTGTGAGATGGGGATGAGGCCACAGAGAGCCTCATATTTATAATGTCCCAACTAAAAGTAAAGAGAACTTTTCTCTTTTATAGTCAAAAAATCAAATTCCAGGGAAGGCCTCTGACTCACCTGGTCAATGAGCAAAACAATTGGCCAAGTCTGGGTCATAGAGCCACTCTTATTAGGAGTAGAATCTTATAATTGACAGCCTTATCCATGGGCTAAGTGACATTTCCAAAATGTAACAGAATATTACAAATCTAATGGGCTGGAAATATCAGAAGAGGATGGCTACATTTTCTTATTTCTCTAATTTTTTCTTTTCTATTATCCTTTTCTTAA